CACTTGAGTACAAGGTTCAGTGACACTTTACACTTGAGTACAAGATTCACATGGGACTTCACACTTGAGTACAAGATTCACATGACACTTTACACCTGAGTACAAGATTCACACGACACTTCACACCTGAGTACAAGGTTCAGTGACACTTCACACATGAGTACAAGATTCACATGACACTTCACACCTGAGTACAAGATTCACACGACACTTCACACCTGAGTACAAGGTTCAGTGACACTTCACACTTGAGTACAAGATTCACATGACACTTCACACCTGAGTACAAGATTCACATGGAACTTCACACTTGAGTACAAGATTCACATGACACTTCACACCTGAGTACAAGGTTCAGTGACACTTCACACTTGAGTACAAGATTCACATGGAACTTCACACTTGAGTACAAGATTCACATGACACTTTACACCTGAGTACAAGATTCACACGACACTTCACACCTGAGTACAAGGTTCAGTGACACTTCACACTTGAGTACAAGATTCACATGACACTTCACACCTGAGTACAAGATGTGCATGAACAGTAAAGATAGATAAACATAGATACAGTTTATGTAACACACATCACCATGAAAAACCTTCAAATTTACTTTCCAACTGCATAGTTAAGAAACTTTCTACTATATTCAGGGAAAAGCGCTAAAAGTGTACGGGTCATGCAGCCCCAGTTGTTATGACAAACTCGCATACATTATTCATAGCTTTGTCCAAAAAAATAGAACAAGAGTAAGAATAGTTACACATTTGTCTTAGCAAATTAGTTTTAAATGCGCAGACTGAAAAGATAATTTTGATAGGCAGTCACTGAAGGGTAAGAGAGAGAGAGAGAGAGAGAGAGAGAGAGAGAGAGAGAGAGACAGAGAGAGAGAGAGAGAGAGAGAGAGAGAGACAGGTCTGTTGGTTAGGTTGAAAGACCATCGTCAACAAGAGAGTCTTTAAAGTTGCATGTTCCCCGTACACCACCAGTCATGCATATTGTAATCCCTAAAATTGGGATTAAATTCTTTGTATGTATACTCGGATACATACACTTCCCGGTGTATATATACATGTGTATATACTATAATAACTTTGTTTTGCTCATATGGCTGATTACATTAATAATATATCAAATGAAACTAAAAACCACCTAGATTTGGGTCTCCGATTTGGCGTCAAACTAACTTTACTTGATAACAGGTGAGATCAACAGATGTCACTACCTGCGTGGAAGGATGCTGTCACCTCTTCCTAAGGAGTTGCGTATCTGGGTATTCCTAGAAAATATGTCTAACTTTGGGGCATATAACGCATTTATCTAATGCTTTAATGTTTACATCTTCCACCTAGAATGTGGTTAGTTAGAGCCTTCTGGGTTCTAGGATGCATCTATCTTACCCTGGAAGAATACCTCGCTAATTTTTTCCCGAGGACAAACGTGATTACAGTAAGGACCATTCATTAACATTTCGTTTTGCGTTGTGATAGACTAAGCTTATACTGAGTGCTTATACTGGCTCCTCGTTGGTTACAGATCCATCATTTAACGACAGCAATTATCGTACTTCGCGGCTTATTAGACGCATGTTTTTTTCTATAAAATGTCTCCAAAAACCACCCTGCGTCCTATAAACTGAAGGTCAGTGACGGGAGCTATACGTTTGGGGTGTTGGGTGGGCTGTAGCTCTCCCAGTTACGTACGATGGCCAGCAATTGAAACTAAAACAAGTCTTATAAGCCGCGTCTTATAAGCCGCGAAATAAGGTAATTCTTACATATTAATAGTTCTCTAGAACCCATAGGTGTTGTACAGAACCATTTAGTACTTCAGAGACGATGGTAATGTAGAATAACTCAGAGGTTAATGGTGTAATTAGGCAATGTTTTCAAACTTCTTGGGAAGAGAAGAGCCTGGGGAATGGGAGGTAATCAGATCTGATCCAAGGGAAGGGAAGTTGCAAATCCTTCACCAACACTAAGGCAATCTATCCCTTTAAAGGGAATTAATTCTTAAAAAAAATAGTTACGATTCTTTGTATATGGTAAAACTGACAAAACGTTTTTAAAAATAAGATATCTATCTTTTTAGTCACGAGGCATAACCAACATCCAGATGTTCGTCGCCCTCGACGGTAAATAGTTCGTCTTGAATGATTCCTCTATAACAGGAATTTTAATACGGATTTTAATACAAAAATTATCAGCTTGGTCGACATGAATTAAATGTTATTCTTCCATTGTTGGTCAAGAACACTTTGTTGAATGCTCTGGTTTAACTAGTATGAGTTAAACTACCACACAAAATTATACTATGAGATGCATATAAGGAAACTGAAGTGTTCTGAGATCAGATTTTCTGTGGCGTGAGCCGTGAATTATCGCTACGCATAGAGTCTTTCAAAGTTGCGTCGTTCATATATCATCCGAGCCCACCTTGTGTTGCGTAGCACCTTGAGTTCGTCTTCACATACATCAGGAATGGAGAGTCCTAGCGCCGCGTCCTTCACCATGGCCACGCTAGTTGATCCACGCACCCGCTGCTCAAAGTCTATAAGCTGAGAAAAGAAACCAGCATTTGGGCGTATATTAGGACGCGAACTCCTCACGTGAAGGAACGCTTGGCGTAAGCTCATGTCCTCGTATTTGACCAGATACGCCAGTACAAGAGCTGGAGAACGACTGACTCCAGCTACGCAGTGTACCATCACGCACCCACCGCGTCTACGCAACTCCTCTATCTTGTCACTGATGGTGTCAAGGTGGACGGCAAGGTCAGAGTCCTGGGCATCGGAGACTCTAACCGGTACGACCTCGACGCCATCGAGGGGCAGTGTGGGCAGCTCGACAGTGGCGTTGACAACACAAGTCACACCCAGTTCCCTGAGCCGTGCCTGACGCACCGCTCTCGCCCCACACAGGTAAAGACCCTCGGTAATGAAGGACACCTGGCTAGCAAGACCCATGCCTCGCTTATGTTTCACTGCCCCTGGCTGCTGCTGCTGCTGCTGCTGCTGCTTCAGTGGCTTCTGCTGCTGTTGCAAGTGTTTCTGCTTTTGCTTCTCATGTTGCTGTTGCAGCTGCTTCTGCTGTTGTTGCCGGTTCTGTTGCTGTTGCTTCTGCTGTTGCAGCTGCTTCTGCTTCTGTTGATGCTGCAGTTTTTGTTTCACCCCGCGACTACAATGAGTCACCATCTGCGTGACAATAAAAACAAACTTATGTAACCAAGTCCCATAGAAACAATAATCCTCATACATAAACACACATGATACATTACATAAAAACATCCCGTGATATTCCAATTATATATGAACAACGATTAATTTAGAACATATAACAATCTTTATTATTGGCATAATTATTAAAAAAACTTATTCTCATTGTTATGTCCTCAATATTTACGTTTGTCTTGCAACAAACCGAAACCAAGAGCTAAATAACGGGTGCTCAAAATGTTTAATTAGATCACAAAAACAAACTTACGTTTTCACATTCATCTTTGGTTATGTCCTCTTGAGAGAGCGACACAATAGCGTTGAGACTGGTGTTATCTGGCATCTTGCTGCCTTCAGACCATGACCGTGAAAATAGATTGGTACTCGTGATCGTCGAAAGTACACCTGTTGGACTTAGCTGTTGTTTTAATGAGTACAATTAAACTTCGACGAAAGTCTCGACGGATCTAGCTTGATCTTGAAGTCTTACGTGTGGCACAGCAGTCGTCCTCGATCTTCCACGTCCGAAGCAGATCAACAGGTGGTCGCCTGTTTACCTTCGACTCCCCTGTTATTTCACTGTCTAGTATATTAAGATATCCTTCCCACGAGAAAGCGCAAATTCACGGACTAGAGAAATTAATAGCCCTGAATGGCCTCCAAATAACATGCAGTGAGGAACTGATAATAAAAAAAAGGAGAGATGAAACTCTAAAGAGAGGGAGCAGTAGGAGTCATTTTCTCCTCCTTTCCAGCCAGATATACAACTGAGGTGTAAAGCGGCTTGTCGTTGAGTTTTTCTTCTTGCCGACGCATGCGCATTGCCAATGTTGTGATGACTAGTACACTCCCTCCCCCAATCCCCTCCTTGCCCCTTACCCTCACCTGTTCCCTCACCCCTCCTCTCCTTCCCCTTGCCCACACCTGTACGCCTCATGATCTTGGCACTGTTAGCATGTAAGGTTCAACTCACCCCTCATCACAATATTTATTTGCAGTTCTAGGGAAGCCCGAGAAGCAATGATGTATAGTAGAAAACGTCAAAAAGATTAATAATGTAAAACTAACGTAACAGAGTCAATCTTTCATTTTGGGTGTTTCGCCAAACATACAGCATAATCAAGACGATGTTTCGCTCTTAAAAGGACTTTACCAAGATTCGCCCATTTGTTTCAAGACGGAAAACATTCAGACAAATTCTTGATCTACATTTATTTTGTCTTGCATCAAAACAAACCTAACTTAACCTGGTTTAAATTTCAACAATATAAAATGCCTATTTTGCTTAACCTAGATCAAAGAATTTCAATAAATATCACACTGTTTTTCAGGTAACGTAAATTGAAATAAATAATAATGCTGGATAAGTGACTGACGTAAATAGCTTTTCTGTTGAATCGAACAGATGTAAACGAAATCATATAGATATGAAAATTCTTTATGCATGTATATATATATATATATATATATATATATATATATATATATATATATATATATATATGTATATAATGTCTTGTAACACTGCATAGCTCCTGACGACGCACGAGAATGTGAAAGATCTTGAGCTGATGATTTCCATTCCAACGATGCTTGTTCTATTTACACACACACACACACACACACACATGTATATATATATATATATATATATATATATATATATATATATATATATATATAATATATATATATATATATATATATATATATATATATATATATATATATATATATATATATATATATATATATATATATATATATATATATATATATATGT